GATATAGAAGAGCTAACCTAAAGGTACTTCCAATGACACTGGTTTATCACTCAAATCATTAGTGTGGATGATTGTATATATATAATGTGTATTAATTTTAAGTGCTAACCTCTAGTAGAGGTAGGATTATTGCCTAGTGAGTGCAGAATTTACCCTAGGCTATCATTAGTGTTTGTTCAGTATTATGAGCAGCCCAAGTACAAGTCCCACAAGGCTTCACCAACTAGCCAGTATGGATAATGCAGGGAGAATGAAAAGAACCCTTGCAGGTCTTAAAGGCCACTTAACAAGACAGATCAAGAAATGTGAAGATTTGTCACAACAATCTCAAGTTGATTATGCTGACCTGGAAAGCTATTATCAAGCAGCTGCAGGTAAATTTGAGCAAATCAAATGCCAAATAGCTCTCCTTGTGGGGACAGATTACTACCATCAATTCATCGGTAGCCCTACTAAATACCAGGGTATAACCATGTTAAACTCTGCAGGAGGTAAATTACTCTCAGGCCCAGTATCAAGCCTGAGGAGACCTATGCCTGCAGATAAACAATACCAATAGAAATCTAAATTTGTCAGCTGATTATATTTCTCCAGTAGCATTATACTAAGGAGATTACAGCTGACTATAGTAACAGAGGTTGATGTTAGTATCATCATTTAAAGCTGAAGATGAGTTCATGAGACCACAGTGGCAAATCAGTGAACAGTAGCCTAAAACAGCTACAAGTCACTGCGACCAATGTCACTGAACCCACTGCAGTCTCAGAACCATACTTTACTTTAATGATGAGCTATTCAATCTTCTGAATCAATTAACTAAATTAAACCCCAATAAATCTGATGACTGATTTGATACATTTATTATTTAATCAAGATGTATTCCATGGGCTTCAGTGTTTATATATCAGTGACCAGTTACCTGAACAAACTTCAAGTTATATCTAATGTCACTGATCTCACTGCAGTCCCTGAATCATACTTGACTGTAGTACTTGATCACATTCAGTCTTCTGGGTTAAATAATATGCAATTAGGCTTGAATATTAGCCTTTCAAGAGTTAACAGGGAAATGAAATCGCATTAGACTTCTAACCCCTGCAAATCTAGTACGGGACATCCGTCCTGTACGAACAGACGCACAAATGTGTGATTACTAACTACTAACATCAAATTAATCTAATAATTCGAAGGAGGAGTATCGGTGTTCGTCTGTTCTAAAGAGGACTTCGACCCGTGAGCAGCCCCCTGGGGAATTATGTCGGAAAATCCGACACCATTTAATAATCATACAGATAATAGCTGTATTGTATAAACAAGTTACTCATAGAAAACGTAACTTGTAGTGGAATTACCGTCTAAAGAAAACGGGATATCATCACCACATACCATTATAAATTTACCAGCTATTCTGGTGGGAATTATTCTTAAATACATTAGTCTTTGGACTTTACCATTATAAAAACATCTCATATAAATTAACTTAATTATCAATATTAAAGTAGAGTAAATGTGACCCTTCTATCACTTACTGACATCTGGACAATGTAGGCCAGGCGTCAGTGGGGAAGGAGGGCAGCCATTGTTATTGTCACCTCCGAGACGCGTGGAGCAAATTTGGCTCCAATCATATCTGGACAATGTCGGCCAGTAGCGTCAATAGTATGGAGTGTTAGACATAGCCATTGTTGATACTGAGACCAGAGGCTCACGGGAGCAAATACGGCTCCTGTTAATTTTACTTGGACGTAGTGTTATGGAAACCAAAGGTGTACCATCTTCAACACGCTGTCAACAAATCAAGTTAAGTGTTCTTTCCGAAACCCGTATATCTATCATTAGTGGCCATTAATGTCATTGGGTAGGGTGACCCGGTTAGAACGCTAGGCAGCCTCAAACTAAAGGTAATTAAGCCAGGACTTCATGTTCCATGTATAGTGTTTTCTCTGATATAGCTTGTCATATATAGAACCTGGCTTCACAGTTAGCGCCCTTTTGACAGGTCAAGACGAGGAAGCATATGCTTTGTGCATCAGTTACCTGGGTGATGGAAGCTACCTCAAAGAGGATAATTTGGTGTCTACACCCTAGTTATACCTGGTGGACTAACCTGCTGTACTATAAGATAAGGAACCTTTTCAATGTATGTAGTTAATACTGTAGTTTGATTGGCTGCATATATATAAATTAAATTAATATAAACCCCCCCTAATGTGTAGAGGATCGATTTGTGAGATTATTGCAGAAATACAGTCCACTTATCATTATACAAATTGCTATCGAAGTATATAAATTAATATAAATCTCACAGGTCGGTTCCCACATGAACTGTGTGTAGGTGAAATACTGTGGCCACGGGCGATCTTTCCCTAAACTCAGGCTTGCATACTTTCAGCTTTACACTGAAAAAGTCTTGCCCTGTGGATGAGTCGTATGATCTTAAGGAAAACACCCTAATCATAGGAGTTAATACTCTAGTATCAGGGCTACACCACGGACGCTATAGCCATGATGGCAGACTTCACTTGCGGGATGATACGTGAGGCTCAGTTACTCTATAATCACAATCCTCGAAAAATTACTCACTTATAAATCTATTGTGGCCATTTTTTTGTTAAACTTTAGTATGAATACAACTAAATATGGACTCATGTGTTTTTTCTAAATGTAAGTTAAAAAATGGCAAATTCGTCCGTGTTCTAATTGAAAAATGTAAATATCAAACTATCACTATACTAATCAATGTCCTGATCACTGTCCTTATCAATGTCCTGATCAATGTCAGGACAGGATACTTTGTGCATTGGGGATTTTGACGTCAAAATGCTATACAGTATTGGAAAGGACACGATAGTACACGGGTTGTTGGAAATTTCCAACACAAATAAACTGCTATTGTATTATAATAAATCATTATTATATACTAACTACAGTAGTCACTAAATTTACTAACAGTAGTGTCAACATGAACTAACCATAGCATCTGCGTATTAATGCTAGAATTCTCATGAAATAGAGCAGCAATATTGTGTCAGATAATGCCTAGTTAGACACATTTATTACCAATGGGTTAGAGAATTGAATGTGGTTCTCTAAAATCATCAGTATTCCGGGTAATAATTACTTACGGATAATATAACTCCCAATAATCTCAAATCGAGAGTTATTAGTTAAATTGTTCTGTAGTAACATTTCCTTCAGTCACGCACGAATGTCATGGAGAGATAAAATCTTCTCCATTTCTCGTTTAACACCATAAAACGAGAATACGATAATATTTAAACCCCTATAATTGCAACCCAGTCCTCATTAACGTATTTCATCCATAATCGCTCAGAAAAGAATTATTCGTTATTAATAATTTCTGGGGTGAATGCAAGAGCCGGGTTGGGGGAGGCGGCGACGCCATTGTAGGAGAGCGTGCTTGGACGACAGCGTGCGAGAGAGGAGGGTCCTGGCGTGAAGAGTGGCGAGACACGTAGTGATTGGGAGTTATCGGCAAGAATTACGCTGATACCCAACTAATAGTGAATAATTATTCCTCCACGTGCTCTATAGTGCCCAGCCAGCAAATAACGCGTCTACAATTAAAGCCAAAACCCACAAATACGCGTACAACGCAGTGAACGTCTGGGACTGGCAGACGCGATATCGGCAGACTTCAGTATTCCATACACTCACGTTAAGTATAGGTTTCTTTCTTGATGCATCATCTAAGATTGTATATTTGTGAGTAGTCTGTCGTTACATAGTGAGAAGACCCCCATATCCAACGTTAGTACCAATTCGGCATTTCTTCTGTTTCATGAATATTGAGCTTAAAAGTAGCCTATTCCAATGCTACTTAATATTCTTTAATTTTCAGCCCGTATGTAAAGGAGTCATCGAGTCGTTACTCTTCATTCGCGCTATTCACCTCTAGTTCCTTCTATGTGGAGATCCTGTGATCACGAGGACGAATGACGAAACGATGTCATAGAAATCGTCTTAAAGCTAAGACTCCTCTCGTACAAATTTAATTCACCTGATTTGATTCTTATACAATTTTGTAGGATCATTATATTGAATAGATTATTACCAGATATGATGATTGGTAATTCATGTGTTTGCTTTGACTGTTGCTCAGTAATTTAATAATCATTAATATTCACAATTTGAGTTCACATATTTGAATCTATAGCAGTTTAGATTTATAATATCATTTACTCAGCAATGAACTGGTGGCGAACCACACCAGTTCCTAGACGTATATGAAGTTCTAGCAATACCCCCCCGCCTCCAATGTAGGTGTTTGAGGCTCTGACTTTAATTAATTAATCATACAGTCCATTTATTATTTCAAGTGATTATTCTTTTTAATAATTATCGATAGACACTGGTTCTCTAGTGTTATTCTAATGATCATTTATTAGTTTTCCCTCTTTTCTCAAAAGTGGGTGGTCCTTCGTTTATTAAATGAAATAAGTAAATAATTGAATAATTGAGTCAAGCCCCAGATATCCCACACGGGTCTCCATGCAAACCACATTTATATTAGAAACATACAATGTGCTGTTAAATGTCTCAAACATGTGTTTCGAGGCTCCTACAGCTGTGGGTGCAATAGCTAGACGGCTGATGACACTGCCTATACTGGAACACAGCCCCCCCCCTGCAGTGTTCAGGTGGATGTCCCCATGGGGAACACGTCACACAACACCTGGGGAACACGTCACACAACACCTGGGGAACACCCTTAGTCAACTGCCCCAGTTGATGAGACAAGCCTTCGAAGACCCAGAGGCAATAATTCCAGCCAGTGATTTCGGGTAATAAATGAAGCTGTAGTTCCATATAAGAATTAAAGGTAGGTCAAGAGCAGGTCTAAATAGTCACCTTAAATATCAAATCAGACAATGACCCAATAAAAGGCATTAAATTCAGTCCCTGATCACACTGATCGCTGTTAATCCGTTAAGAAACGAATCTGTGTAACAAGTCAACCTTAGGAGAAATGGATTTACCTGTGCCACTGGAGGCGGCTCTGCGGCAGCAGCTGAAGGTTGTTCTTCATTCCTCTGCATGGCCTCCTGCTGGGCTGCCTCTACTGCTTTCTTCTCCGCGGCTCTGAGGAGAAATTGTCCCTCAGTGATGTCTTCCTACGTACTGTCTCCGGCGTCTTATTGCAGAAATTGCTCTCATTGAAGTCAGGCAGAAAAAACTATATTTAATGCTCTTATATAGTTAAACTTAGGACATAAGGCAATTCAACTAAGAAAGTAATAATGTCTCTAGGGAATCTCTGAAGGAAATAGTGTCCTTTAAGAAATATATCTGATGGCATATTATTAAGTTTCAAGTACTTTATAAATTTTGGTACAAAATGTAAAGAAAGCACATTTCTGCTGCTTTATGTTAGGAAGTGAAGATTCTAAGTTTAAGCAAGAGAACACAACACGTCATATGTAGAGAAATGCCACGAACCCCAGCTTTAGCTCGCTGCCTGCTGAGTAAATCCAATGTAAATAACAGAAGTAAAGGGAAGTAGTGTGAAAAATATACATTAGAACATAAGAGTAAAGGAGCCTACAATAGGACTATTGGCCCTTACGAGGCGGCTGGTGTGTACACCTGCCCGAACACATACACACATACGAATAGCTATTCGTACAGCCCAGCAATCCAGTGCATTGTATTTACATTCCAGTTTATGTAATCATTCTATCGACTTCACAGGGGCAAAATGTATTGTTAAAAGTAAGGATTTTGTTGAACGAAACGTGATCGAGTCTGCTCTGATCAAACATTGTAACAACAGCCTTAATGTGAGCCCCGGTATGTACAAGTTGGATCCCTATTTAAGCCTCAATATAGCACGTCAAAACAATATAGCAATCATTTAAACACGTATGGCACTTGGAGATATTAATAGGAGCTGCCTTGTATGGGCCAATAGGCCTTCTGCAATTACCTTCTTTCTTATAATTCCTTTCCTCCACTTATTTTTGGTGGTCAGGTGATCTGCCCAGGCGGATATAAAGGTCTGATCAGCAATCTTATCCTCATTCTACTTTGCTCTGATGAAGGCGAATTAGCCGAAAACGCGTTAAGCATTTTCTATTTTTCATATGTGGTTATTCTGCATATATATATATATATATATATATATATATATATATATATATATATATATATATATATATATATATATATATATATATATGTCGTACCTAGTAGCCAGAACGCACTTCTCGGCCTACTATGCAAGGCCCGATTTGCCTAATAAGCCAAGTTTTCCTGAATTATTATATTTTCTCAATTTTTTTTCTTATGAGATGATAAAGCTACCCATTTCATTATGTATGAGGTCAATATTTTTTATTGGAGTTAAAATTAACGTAGATATATGACCAAACCTAACCAACCCTACCTAACCTAACCTAACCTATCTTTTTAGGTTAGGTTAGGTTCGGTAGCCGAAAAAGTTAGGTTAGGTTTGGTTAGGTAGGTTAGGTAGTCGAAAAACAATTAATTCATGAAAACGTGGCTTATTAGGCAAATCAGGCCTTGCATAGTAGGCAGAGAAGTGCGTTCTGGCTATTAGGTACGACATATATATATATATATATATATATATATATATATATATATATATATATATATATCTATATATATATATATATATATATATATACTGAAAACTCACACCCCAGAAGTGAACCACTTCCCCGCCGGCACTCGGATGGTAATCTTGGGCATAGCATTTTATCAAGATTACCATCCGAGTGCCGGCGGGGAAGTTGTTCAAACAGCTTCGGCTATCACTTCCTTATGTCCGGTTATGATGGTCAAGCAGATTAAGGCGTCCTGTAGATACCAGTTGCATTGCTCCTGGGAGTATGGGTTCGAGTCACTTCTGGGGTGTGAGTTTTCAGTAGCATATAGTCCTGGGGACCATTCAGGCTTGTTTGCATTTATATATATACATATCCCTATTGTTTTATAATTTTATGCATATACATATACATACATTACTCTTATGTTCTTTGTACACACATTCTTTTAAATAAACATTATTATTAATAATAAGATTATTATTAGTAGTAATATTATTAACATGAGTGATGTCTCATCTTGCTCATGGTTTGATAGAGAATGTTATTTATCGTCTTTTTAATCTCTATTGATAAGGAAGAATTCGTGTTTCAGGGATTAAGTTTGTGATCCGTGTGTACGGTCGTCCGAGTGAAGTAGAGTCCACTCAGGCGTGCGGACACTAAACATCAACTGCATCATTTAATTGTAGTCTAAAATGAGCAAGATAAAGCTGAGGAGCTCATTTATGGTAGCTGTTGCTACCATTCCTAGATATAAATCCCAGCATTTTATTAAGTTTTTGGCACGTTTATGCATTGTTTTTTAGCTTAAAATTCCTGCAAATAATGACTGCTAGATCTTTCTCGCATCAGACTTGATAAGTCAAACATTGTCCAGATATCTTGCAACTTTGTTAATGTTATCTAAACTCTGAACAAAACATTTCTAAGCATTAAAGTCCGTCTGCTAAACGTTCGCCCATTTTAATAGCCCGTCTAGATGGCATTGCGCCTTCATCTGAATTTATTTCCACATTGCTTTTGTACCGTCTTTAACATTGGCAGTGAGACAGCAGTTTGGGCCTGTGTGTGATGGTTGATGTATACGGCCAACACGAGAGAAAGGTCCGGGCCACTCCACGGGCGACGGTGTCATACTCCCATCTCATCCCATGTATGTTGTCTGCTTGCTTTGAAACAAAGAAGCTGTAACGCAACTTAGACAACCCCGCCTTCCTTCTAACACCAAGGCATCCAACCTATTAACGGGTCTCTCGCGAGGTAGTGTCACAGGCTTTTCTACAATTAGGCTACACAATGTCGCAATGCTTACCACTTTTAACTGCCTGAAATATACTGGGAAGGAAGGAAGGAAAGCAGATCGGTTGAACATGAGCGGCTCTTAATACAACCATATTGTGACCTTTTTATTAACCTATGATGCATAAGATGTGACCAAATTACTTTTGCAATTCTCCATTCAGACAAATTTCCAACAATAGATTGACCAGACCACACACTAGAAGGTGAAGGGACGACGACGTTTCGGTCCGTCCTGGACCATTCTCAAGTCGATGGACTTGATCGACTTGAGAATAGTTCAGGACGGACCGAAACGTCGTCGTCCCTTCACCTTCTAGTGTGTGGTCTGGTCAACTTACTTTAGCCACGTTATTGTGACTCATCGCCTCCAACAATAGACATTAATCTTATCGGACGATAGTTGGACGCAAATGATCTATCTGCCTTGTGTAGAGTTGGCGTGTGAGATAGAAGGAAGAGAGGGACACGGGAGAGAAGAGAGACGGGTTAGAGTGAGTGGGGGAGAACAAACAATGGGCACTACTAACTCGAGGTGACCAGCGCTGCCGTCCCCACCAAACCTGAGGTAATAGCAAAAAAATGTGATACTCATTAATGTCCACAAAAATCAACAAGTAATTACAAAACATTAGCGACTACTGCAAGCAGGAATGTGTTAAACTACTCAACAGCCTCGTTATCCCCACAACGCGGGGTCCTTCAACACAGTAAGCATTAAGTGGCAATAAAGCTGCAAGTGTCAAATGCACCCCTTTAAAGCTGCAGTACTCATCCCTAGTACTATTTAAAAAAAATAAAATCTAATTTAACACTTGCTAACACGCGGTTGTGAGTCAGCATAACATTGTTAAATAAGTTGCAGTGAGTCAGTGCTAAAGTATTAAATAAGCTGCAGTGAGTCGGTGCTAAATTGTTAAATAAGCTGCAGTGAGTCGGTGCTAAAGTATTAAATAAGCTGCAGTGAGTCGGTGCTAAATTGTTAAATAAGCTGCTGTGAGTTGGTGCTAAATTGTTAAATAAGTTACAATGAGTCGCCAGTGCGTAATTGTTGAGTACGCTACAGTGAATCAGCTGAGCAGAGTCGCTCATGAAGCAGTGACTCCGAGCTTAAGTTTGTTACAGTGATAAGAGCACCAATGTTGCAAAAGCTATAATGATCCAATTATCACTGTTAAACACGCTACAGTGATCCAAGTAGCACTGTTAAACACGCTACAATGATCCAAGTAGCACTGTTAAACACGCTACAATGATCCAAGTAGCACTGTTAAACACGCTACAATGATCCAAGTAGCACTGTTAAACACGCTACAATGATCCAAGTAGCACTGTTAAACACGCTACAATGATCCAAGTAGCACTGTTAAACACGCTACAATGATCCAAGTAGCACTGTTAAACACGCTACAATGATCCAAGTAGCACTGTTAAACACGCTACAATGATCCAAGTAGCACTATTAAACACGCTACAATGATCTAAGTAGCACTGATAAACACGCTACAATGATCCAAGTAGCACTATTAAACATGCTACAATGATCCAAGTAGCAGTGTTAAACACGCTACAATGATCCAAGTAGCACTGATAAACACGCTACAATGATCCAAGTAGCAGTGTTAAACACGCTACAATGATCCAAGTAGCACTATTAAACACGCTACAATGATCCATGTAACACTGTTAAACACGCTACGATGATCCAAGTACCACTGTTAAACAAGCTACAATGATCCAAGTAGCACTGTTAAACACGCTACAATGACCCAAGTAGCACTGTTAAACACGCTACAATGACCCATGTAGCACTGTTAAACACGCTACAATGACCCAAGTAGCACTTAAACACGCTACAATGACCCAAGTAGCACTGTTAAACACGCTACAATGACCCAAGTAGCACTGTTAAACACGCTACAATGACCCAAGTAGCACTGTTAAACACGCTACAATGACCCAAGTAGCACTGTTAAACATGCTACAGTGACCCAAGTAGCACTGTTTAACACGCTACAGTGACCCAAGTAGCACTGTTAAACACGCTACAGTGACCCAAGTAGCACTGTTAAACACGCTACAATGACCCATGTAGCACTGTTAAACACGCTACAATGACCCATGTAACACTGTTAAACACGCTACAATGACCCATGTAGCACTGTTAAACACGCTACAATGACCCATGTAGCACTGTTAAACACGCTACAATGACCCATGTAGCACTGTTAAACACGCTACAATGACCCATGTAGCACTGTTAAACACGCTACAATGACCCAAGTAGCACTGTTAAACACGCTACAATGACCCATGTAGCACTGTTAAACACGCTACAATGACCCATGTAGCACTGTTAAACACGCTACAATGACCCATGTAGCACTGTTAAACACGCTACAATGACCCATGTAGCACTGTTAAACACGCTACAATGACCCATGTAGCACTGTTAAACACGCTACAATGACCCATGTAGCACTGTTAAACACGCTACAATGACCCATGTAGCACTGTTAAACACGCTACAATGACCCATGTAGCACTGTTAAACACGCTACAATGACCCATGTAGCACTGTTAAACACGCTACAATGACCCATGTAGCACTGTTAAACACGCTACAATGACCCATGTAGCACTGTTAAACACGCTACAATGACCCATGTAGCACTGTTAAACACTACGCTTGACAATCTGGACAACAGCGATTACTTCAGCTTATAAGTTTTTAGCTTGCAAATGAAGTCAATGTAATCAGCAGCAAACATTTAACTAATTACAAAAGTCAATATATTACATGCATGAAATCACTTTTTATTACTGCTCCAAGTATAATTACTCTTTATGTTGTCAAGAATAAGGCATATTTATTTTAATTGAATTCACAATTTAATCAAATTAATCTGATAAATATTTTTTCTCAAATATATTGTCTTCCACACACACACACACACACATACAGGAGGACTGTTTGAGGCTTCAAGAAGACCTAGGAATGGTCGAACAAATGGTTGTTAGAGTTTAACCCAAGCAAATGTAATGTAATGAAGATAGGTGTAGGGGGCAGGAGGCCAGAAACAAGGTATCATTTAGGAAATGAAATTCTTCAAGAGTCAGAGAGAGAGAAAGGCTTGGGGGGTTGATATCACGCCAGACCTACCCCCTGAAGCCCATATGAAGAGGATAACATCAGCGGCATATGCCCGGTTGGCCAACATAAGAACTGCATTTAGAAACCTGTGTAAGGAATCATTCAGAACTTTCTATACCACGTATGTCAGACCAATCCTAGAGTATGCAGCTCCAGCATGGAGTCCATATCTAGTCAAGCATAAGACTAAACTGGAGAAGGTTCAAAAGTTTACCACCAAACTAGTACCCGAACTGAGAGGTATGAGCTACGAGGAGAGACTACAGGAATTAAACCTCACATCGCTGAAAGACAGAAGAGTTAGGGGGGGGGACATGATCGCCACATACAAGATTCACAAAGGAATTTGTAGAGTAGATAAGGATATGCTATTTAACACAAGGGGAACACGCACTAGGGGACAGAGGTGGAAATTGAGTGCCCAAATGACCCACAGAGATATTAGAAAGAACTTTTTTAATGCATGTTGCATTCCATTTGGTTGACAAATGGACTGCAGTAGGAAGTGATGTGGTGGAGGCAGACTCCACATACAGTTTCAAGTGTAGATATGAAAGATCCCAGTAACCTGTACACCAGTTGAGAGGAGGGACCAAAGAGCCAGAGCACAACCCCCGCAAGCACAAATAGGTGACTACAAGGCTGTTGGAGTCTCACCATCGATGCTAAGAGAGGGGGCAGAAGCACTTGGTATGCCATTTCCTATGGTGTATAACAAGTCATTGGAAACAGGAGACCTACCAGAATGTTGGAAGACAGCTAACGTAGTCCTAATATACAAGTAGGGTGATGGGCAGGAGACCCTAAGCTACAGGGCGGTGTCCTTAACTTGTATACCATGCAAGGTGATGAATATGATCGTGAGAAAAAGATTGCTAGCACATCTGGAGTGAAGAGACTTGTATAACACACCACCAGCATTTGTTCAGGGATGTCAAATTGTGCCTCGCAGGTTTAATACAATTCTATGACCAAACAACAAGCATTAAGCAAGAAAGAGAAGAGTGGGCAGATTGTATTTTCTTGGACTGTCAGAAAGCTTTTGATAACGTCACCCATAAGAGACTTCCATAAATTGGAGAATCAGCAGGAATACTCTAGTGGATAAGGGAGTACCTAAATAACAGGAAGCAGAGAGTTACTGTGAGGGGTGAGACCTCAGACTGGTGTGATGTCACCAGCGGAGTCCCACAAGGTTCTGAACTCGGACCTATCCTGTTTCTGATATACATACATGATCTTCCAGAGGTTATAGACTTATTTCTCTCAATGTTTGTGGATGATGCTATAATTATGAGAAAGATTAAGACAGAAGAGGACAGCAATAGACTGCAAGATAACCAGGACAGATTGAAGGAATGATCCAACAAATGGCTGAGTTTATCTCGAGCAAATGTAAATTCCCTACACCTGAAGACAGGTGTAGGAAAGGAAGGAAGGAAGGAAGGAATTATCAGGGTAAAGCGTCAAGCAATTACAACCATATAGTACTGGGAAAGGGTCAGGATAAGGATAGGCGATGGGACGGGGGGAAAGGAATGGTGCCCAACCACTTGGAGGGGTCGGGGATTGAACAGGTGTAGGGAGTAGGAGGCCAAACTCAAGGTACCAAGGAGAGAGAGAACGAATTATCAGAGGAAAGCGCCAAGACTATATAGCACTTGGAAGGGGTCAGGATAAGGATTTGGGATGGGACGGGGGGAAAGAATGGTGGCCAATCACTTGTACAGTCGGGGATTGAACACCGACCTGCATGAAGCAAGACCATGTAAGCACAAGCAGAAACTTGTGTAATGAATCATTTAGAACCTTGTATACCTCATATGTCTGGCCAATGCTGGAGTATGCGGCTCCAGTGTTAGTCGATATCCAGTCAAACACAAAACAAAGTTAGAAAAGGATCAGAGAAAGGCCACCAGGCTAATCTCGAGCTGAGGGGTATGAGATACCAGGAAAGATTGCTGGAACTAAATCTCACGACACTGTAAGACAGGAGAGTTAGGGGAGACATGATCACTACCTATAAAATTATTAGAGGAATTGACAGTGACAATTTTTTCATCCAGGGGGTAAAAATTATCCTTGGAATCATTTCATGGTTTAGATATGTTGATGATATTTTGTGTATATGGCCTACAAATGTAAATTCAGATGAATTTGTAGCTAATCTTAACGATCAAGTCACGTCTATATAATTCACTATCGAGACTGAAGTTGATAAATGTTTGCCAGTCTTAGATATACTTATTCATTGGGAAGATTTTAGTGTTTACAGAAAGCCTATGAATAATTTATCTTATGTTCATTATTTCTCAGGGCATAGATACCATGTGAAACAATAATGGTTTTCCTCTATGTATCTAAGAGCTCTTCGGGTCGTTAGTCCAGTATTCTTGGATGAAGAATGTTTATTCTATTGGTCTCAAGCTTTGTTATCCACTGAGTTTTATGGAAGTTTGTAAGTCAGTACATCGTACTGAACCATCATCGGTGCTTGCTAGGGTGGCAAAAATAAGAACTACCTTAAAAATCTAAATAAAGAATTCTTTAGGATTATATATACTACTGTTCATTGTGTTGTGAAGAAGGAAGGTAAGGTTGAGACCACATTACCACCCACAGGCCAGGATGAAGGCCGGCCACCTGTTAAAACCCTGGATATGGCGCCAGTTGCGGCCTCCACACCTTCTTAGTGAATTTAGTAGAGTTCTAGGTTGAATGGCTTTTGTCCTATCAAGCATTTGGGAATCACTAGACCGCTGGTTCAAGTCATCTCTATACCTCAAATGATTTCTTCACTGATATTTCACACCATTGTGATTTCTGTGTGTTGTGTTAAATTCAAGCAAGTGTTGAGTTGTGTATGAAACTGGGCGGTGAAAACAGGAATCTAATTTGAAGGTGACAAATGGGAGACGAAATCCTTCAAGTGTAAGGCAGAGAGAATGACACATGGGATAAATATTACACCAAACCTGTCTCTCTAAGCCAACATCGTACTGATATCGTCATCGGTGCATGCTAGGGTGGCCAGGATAAGAACGACCTTCAGAAATGTAAGTTAGGAATCGTTTAGGATCATATATATACTATATGATACACCAGTCCTGGAATATACAGCAACTAGATGCAGTTCTTAACTAATTAAAAGCAAAACAAAGTTGGTGAGAGTGCAGGTGTATGCCACTGGACAAGTTCCACAACTGAGTGCTATCAGTTACTGGGAAAATAGTAACAGTAAGAGGAAGACAGAATGGTTTGTGTAGTTAAAATTACTTTGTACACAATTCTCAGGGAATGTAAGAGAGCAGACAAGGGAAGAATATTGTGGGAGTTTGGAAGTGAAGAACGGCACACAAGAGGTGCCACACTGTGTCTTAATGGGGCATAAAGATATTAGAAACAATTTAGTCATTGTTGTGAACAAATGGAATGCACTAAGAAGATATATGGAGGAATCAGACACCATACGAAGTTTAAAATATAAATAATAAAGCCTAATAATAATAAAGCCAGTCAAGACAACCTAACTTTATATTGAGATGTTGGACTAAAGGGCTGAAATTGAAACCTCGCAAGGGCAATTAGGTATGTACAATCAGGCAAGATTACACACACACACACACACACACACACACACACACACACACACACACACACACACACACACACACACACACACACACACACACACTCGCAAATACAAATAAGTGAGCACGTTTATGTGATTGCACGCTGCCTCCAATTTTCAAATTAATAAGATAATTGCACACATTTATAATTGAAAATATCATAATTCCTTTTGGAGTCACTTCTGCTCTAAGTAACTCTTGTTGACTCTTTCGTTTACTGTTATAATTCTGCCTAAATTCACAATTAGAACATGGCAATATTTTTCAGTTAATGTAATTTGTATCTAGTTTTTTGTGTCTGTGTTTAAATAGGATCTTGACTCTCACTCTCTTTTTGCATCATTCTTGTACCTTATTCTCTAGCTTTCGTATCAATCAACAGTCAGTTTCAGTAACTTCTAACATCCCGTGCATTAAAGATATAAATAATTTGAAAGAAAGGTTGTCAATGATCTGTTGTAACGAGAAATATCATCCATTATTTGGTGAAGAGTATCATAAGATTATTCACAAGAGTACAATAATAGACTACCAACTATGATCACAAGAATATTAAACTACAACACATGTACATCACTAGGAAAGAGTAGACACCCAGCAAGGACAACCATGCTTAAAGCTGACAACAAAACTATCTACGAACAAGGAAGGTGGGACTGCCTGCCCAGCACCTGGCTGCAGCAAGGGAGCCAAGTACACTACAGCAAGAGACTGGCACATCTTCGTGGTACCAACACACAGCCGCTCGGCTACCTACTTGACAGCAGCGATAGCTTGCTCTGGGGTGATGTCGTCCTTGAGCTCCGCCAGAGCGTCCAGCACCGGCTTCATCTTATCGTCGTCGATGATATCCTCAGGTTTAGCCTCCAACGAAAGTCTGCAAAGATTTAGAGTCGTGTTGAATATTAAGAACACTGACTTACATCTTGGCTTGGCACAAATCAAGATTAACTTGGCCACCTCAGACCCAGTAAATACTTTTGTTTATAAAGGTATTGTATTAGATGATAACGATAATAATGTCTTGAACGAATTACTGCTATTGCCATGCTAAGCATTTTGAAGTTGAAGTTTCACTTTGTAATTTACATTTCAAAAGTAACTTTGCTTCTCCCAAGCCATTTTGAGAGCATCTGATTATCACTTCTTTCTTAACAAATCTGTTATGTTATCTCTGTGGGAAATTTTATTCACTATATCAACATTATTATCTAAGAAATGTATTATTTCTATTTCATACCAAAATCATTTCAAAATCATATCAGATTCATAATATCCTACATCTGGATCCCACATGACAATGCCACTATGATCATGTACACCATAGGGCTCATGGTGCCTAAGGATCCCACATGACAATGCCACTATGATCATGTACACCATAGGGCTCATGGTGCCTATGTGACTTTGTGCACGATTTCTCAAGGATCTAGAAGCTTCGAGAACAATATCTTAATTAAAAAACTATTGGAACAATCAATCGATTTCCGATAAGAATTAAGTCAAATCAATAGTACTATCAAGTACTACAAATAATCTATAAATTCTGTATCTAATTATATTATAATCACATCTTATCTCAATCATATGTCAAGACAGAAAAAATAATAAATAAATATAGATTGAAGGCTACCCTCCCCAAAGAGGGCAGAGCTAGCCAGGACTTCAAGCGCCGACGACTGGAGCGTCCGGGGCAGAGAACGTATGTTTACAAACAGAGTGAACACGTGATGCGGTGCCTTGCGAACATTTTCAGTAAGGGACACCACACTAACTTGTCATTATCACCAGTGATAACTCTCTAGAACTAGGAGAGTACCTGGACTATATCTATACGCAAAAATTCCTAGTACTTTATCTAAATAAGAGTGTAGAGTGGAGCACACCAAGTGACTAGCAAAGCTGCCTGAATGTTTAACAGCAAAGCTGTGACATAAAAATATAGAGCCTAAGCTCTACCAGAGAGGTTATCAGTCTGGCAACTTGTCAGACGGCACTGGCTCTCAGACTGTATAAACATAAGTATATTGAGTGTTATTGTAGTGTGTTGATTGGCCAATTGTATGCTTGTGTAACCTTAATATAACCAATAACTCTGTTTGCCGTTACAGAGTGGGGCAACGCCCCCATATTTCAGTAAGATTTGATTAATCTTTCAGCCATTGAATCTTTTCAATTTATCTGGACACTCATTAATTATTACACCTCAGTCATTGAAAGTCAAGCTCGACTGAAGCTTTTCATATAAATTGAATATTTATGTATATATAATTGATAATATACATTACGGTAATAATTGCTTATTTAGTTATCTTTAATTTATCATAATGCATAATAAAATCCTTGTGCCTAGATACCAGCATTTGGACCAAATTTGAGGTCATTTAATTGCATATTTCCATATATCATACATCTATAATACAAATTGTTGTGTTTATTAGTATGTGAATATTGGCTGTTGTAATAATAGTGCTAAGTTGGACTATGCACATGTTTAGATCCTTGATTTAAACAGAACCAGAGTTCAGTTATAGAACTGAGTTATTTAATCTTATCCTTGTATTAACAATACAAGCTGACGGACTGAATTGTTTGCAGGTGGATTGTAGTTCTTCAAACAACTTCTCCATTCAGCCTTAGGGACCCCACCTGCCCCTTACAGCCCACAGTCTGTCATTAGGACCAGCGGAGCTGGGATTTACTACCCTAGCTAGGGACTTCAGTTATATTAATTTTGCATACAGTAATTTTTAATTTAGTACAGTACAAGTCCCAAGTAGTTCTTTCCATATATCAATCCCAGCAAGTTTACCACAACTTCATTAGCCTCTGCTAGTTTGCTACTAATCAATCTCTCAACTCTCGACAGCACAAACCCAGAAAAAAATATAAATCCCTTATTCAAAAAATGTAAAGATCTCGATCATTCTGGCACATTCTATCTACGTTTTTGAATGAGGAGTCACATATGGCATATAACAGCATGTGTTACATATAGTGCTGATATAACAGTACTTTTTTACATATAATTATTATATATTTGTATATAACGATAAATTACAACAAATCAAGTCAAGTCACATGAGCACATGGCCAGGTGTGGAGTGTGCTTATTAACGTAAACACCTCAAGTATGGAGTACGTCTAGGTTACAGATACAACTGGGAGATTGGTGAACCCGGACAGATAGAATGCATCATCTGCCAAACAATCACAGAAAAGACACTACTTCACTATCTCCTGGAATGTGAAGCAACCAACGACCTTAGAAGAGCTTTAAGAGTCCCTGAATCTTGCAGTAACCAGCCTGAAGCCATCAACACTGCCACTCGTCTGGTCATAAAGTTGTCCAGCAGCTGAACAACCCCATAAATACTGTCAAGCAGTATCCTCCCCAGCAGTAGCAGCCACATAGTAAGGACTGACAGTTCAAATGCGCACTCAGCACACAGTATATCCTTCACGACCAAAGCTCACATTCACTACAAACATCAACCACTTACGGGCTACTCATTCCCGTGCCACCTCTTGGGTGGCCTAATCTTTATCAATCAATCAATCAAGTATGGCATATAGTATTTGCGTTGTTGCTGAAACATCCTGATCAACACTGAATCATAATGTAAGACTGAAGAACAACATCAACGAGGTTTGCCTAAGTTTTTGTGCAATAAGCTTACATTCGTGAGAAGATGTGCAATGACTACGATGTCTGGTGAGGTGAGGACATCACACAGGTTGCAGCACATTGTATCCTAAGCATTTGTGTGCACCATTTCTCAAGCACAACATAAGAGCCAGATGAAGATGGTGTCCTATACCTCAGAGGCTTCACTATATATTCATGCAGCATGGTTTATGAGGCCAACATTGACACAGTTAGGTCACAAGCCCGTGACAGGTGAGAGAGTCAGTGATAACCACAAAACAAACCTCAGGCTCATCTGAAGAGTATATATAAATATTGACTTTATATATTATGTCCATATTTGTTTATTCAACCACAAAATTTATTATAAATTTCATAAAATAATTTATTATAAATTTATGAATAAGAATTGCGAAAGAACTAAATGTAACAGTTATATGTAAGATAATTCAACCAAAGAACAAAATCAATGCACAAATACAAGATTATTACACCAATAAACATCTCTGAACTATATAAATTTGACACAGCTTGTCGAGCCATTAAACCGTGTTGGTTTTCTTTCACACAAACGATCCCCATATATAGTAACATGTTCACAGCGAGGGCAAACTTGCCAGCGAAAGACTCAGCATGACGCTGCAATATTCACTGTCACTTCCTGCAACTAACTTACATGAGCAAACTATTCACTTTCACTTCTCACAGGAAACAGGGTGAGCTCGAGAAGAAATACAAACTTCTTGAGTGGAGCAAAAATAGTTCCTCTCACCCAAATCTACTCACCTGATGAGCTCATCAACACCGGTACGCACTCGAGAAAGGTGTTTAAATAATCCACATTTTCTCTTTGATAATGAAGTTACTGCATAGGAACAGAATTTAATTATTTGTAATACATTTGAGATTCATGAGCTTATGGACTCCTGTTAAATTATGAGTCAGATTGCCAACAGAATGTCACTTCCAATCAAATGTCCAGCCAAGCATATCATGCATACAATAAACACTGTTTATTTATCGGAATTATTGCTTACTGTTCTCCTTCAGGCTTGGCTTCTGCAGCAGGCGGCGGCAGTTGATCAAGAGCAACGTCCGGTAACGCTGGTATAGCCAGACGCACGAATGGACCAGACTTCTCCTCCTTCTGCTCCGCCTTCATGAAAGTAGTGGACAATTATTATTACATGATTCCTGCTCCACTAATACTAGTGTTCATCCAATCCGCATGCAAGATAAAAGCCCACTCAAGATAGTATTTATACCCGTGGTAAAGTAAAGTATTTCTGTCTTAGCTTAACTGTAAACACAGGCGAGGTGAGTGTTGCTGAGGTACCACAACTTACACACAACAATATGGTACAATAACACTTCGTGTACCTCAGAACATCTCAACTCTTTTAATAACAGATCATCCAAAAAATGGCTGACTGTTTCTCTCTATAAAGTAAAATACAGAGAAATATAAAGTTAGAAACAGAGACATAATAGAGTCATGATTGGTCATGGCTGTATTATGTCTATTTTTTTCTCCAAGCACAAAGAGACAACATTGAAAACAAGTAAATAAGGAGGAGTTGTTCTTCCGTGAGAAGATAATCTAAAGTGATGCCATGACGAGGCGCACCTAACTGCCAGGTTCAGTAATTTAACGAAGCTTCTAGATAAGGTCAAAATTTAACTTAATTTACTTTGTTGTTGTTTATTATGATAAAAAAGATAAAACATAAGAAAAGATGTGTTTTATAAGGAGTGACGACCCAGACACAAGCTTGGGGATCAGGACACCACACTTCAAACACGGCATAAATTTCATTGTAATATGATGCGCTAGAGAGATGGTCCACCCGGGCATCAACACCACACAACAACTTGTCTCAGAGGGTCGCACAGCGCAGCAGGAGTTGTGTGTACAACTACTTCCTGTTTCATCAGAAAACTACAGTAAGACAAACTTAAAATTAATTCTTGGAATAATCAAAGTCCATAATTCGAGGCCCTCAAACCTGAAAACCACATGAGATTAAGAATGGCAGCACTCTCCATGGCGGGTGTGTAGCAAGAACAGGAGTTTATGCTGTACACAGTGAAGGGCTGAGATGAGAGGAAGCCAGCAAGTGTTGAGGTTAGGCCTCTCCCTCACCCATCATCACCCCGTGTTTGGTGCAACACACCAATGTTTAGTGTGGCAGTACCGTGCTGACAACGGTCCATCATCACACCGTGAAGGCAGTGTGACTTCACCCCACCCTTACCTACCTTACCACACCTCACCCATGCCTACCTTACCTCACCCTTACCTACCACACCTCGCCCTTACCTACTTCAACTCAACCTTACCTACCACATCCCACCCTCATCTACTTTACCCCATCCTTTCGTACCTCACCCCATCCTTACCTACACTCCTGCCCTGTGTACCTTTATTACTATGAGCCGTGTGCATGTTTTACAGTTGATGAAGACCTTATAAGAGAGAGAAGATCTAAGCGTCAAGTGTGCTCGTGTGTCTGTGTTGTTCTACGTAATGTGAGAGGAGTGTGTGTGTGAGAGAGACCACAGGAAGGTACTCCTACCTGCTCGAGGGGCGGGCCTTGCATCAGCCTCATGGTGGCTCGCCACACCTTGCGGGAGACGTAGAACACACCAAAGGCGCTGTGGTACATTATCAGAAACAATAAGCGACAGAAACCCACGGCCAGTTCGGCTGGGGTCATCTGTTTGATCTCCTTGATTTTCCTCTTCACGTTAGATGGCGCTAATATGGAGAATGTCTCCAGCACCTGATCCTTCATACCTCCAATCTTGGCCTTAATCAGATCCATGCCCGTTCTGGAGATTAAACATTAAAGTCAGCCTAAGCATTAGTCTCTTAATGTGAAAAGTCTTTAAAACATCATATATCACTAAATATATATATTTGGGAATTTGTAGCAGAATAGTAATTAAGTTTATTCGAGATACTGTCAAACGTTAACTCATAAAATCTTCAGCTAGTCTAAATATCTTAAAATTCAAAAGAATTTAATCTTAATTACTATATACTACAAGTGATTTATTAGATGAAGTATGTAGAAGGTAAGTGAATATTCTCACTTTTCTTCCTCGTCTTCAGTGAGGTACTTGAGTGCATCAGCTTCGCACTTCTTGGCCATAGCGTCGTCTTCCTCCTCCATGAGAGCGGCGGCGTGCTGCATCTCAAAGATAGCATCCTCACAGAAGTTGACGAAAGCTTCCAGCTTTTCCTTGTCTCCCTCGGTCACGATGGCGTAGAAGAACCCTCGCTTGGACTCCTTAATCTGGGGCTTCTCCCACTGGTCGATGTTTTCCTCCTTGATCTCAAAATACACTCGCTCAATGCGCTTCGAACTACCCATGATTTCGATGCGTCCGAGTAGCGGTTCGAAGTAATTGAGAACTGAACCTGCCGTCTAAAATTACAGAGGTAACAAAATATGGAACTGTTTAGTTTTAGTTATTTATTTTCCTCTTCAACGGAATTAAAATAAAAAATTATGTCCAACAGTTCCAATTTATTTTTAATTATGTAAAAAGCAATGCTGATAAAGTCTCTGAAACAAGAGATTCTGGTCATACTCGGTAAGTCTCTCTTCTGCTAAACTTTGATAGATTCATGAAGAAGATTCCAACTTAAGTACCTAAGGCTTTAAAGATAATTAAAGCGTGTGAAATGGGCAACAAAATGTGCAGAAGTATTAAAACTGTACCTCTAAGAACCTGGCGAGGCGCGGGTCGTTGGGCATGTGCTCTGACAAGTTAGTGAGCAGCACTGCCAAGTTGAACCCGATCTCCTTGGCTGGGTTGTGGAAGCGTTCAGTGAACTCCAAATAGTCAATCTTGCCGTCATGGTTACAGTCACAACACATCAGTAAGAAGTTAATCTCCTCCCTAAGAAATGATGGTTAAAAAAGAAAGTTGAATGTAATGAAATCGTTGGTAATCAGCCTACTCAGTAGCTCCTCAACTTGGAGGAGAGCAAGCCATGTGGAGCATAACAGGCGTCTGGGGACCCACAAACACCTTCAGAACAGCACCAGAATCTGATGCCATGAAAAAAAGGTGAGCCTTGGAGTAAGATATCATCACAATACTGAAAAAATCCATCAGAAAGATAACAAATGCTCCAAAAAATCTACCGATTTAAAAATTTCAACTCTGATGATAACAATAATTAGTGCAGCAAAATAACCGCCAAGATACACTCGCGCGCCACAAGATAATAGACATTCTTGGCCAGCCTGCCGACTCATTTACCCCCCCCCCCAGAACCCTTCCCTATACTCCGAGGGAAAGGTAGGCAACAGGCCAAAACGGGAAGCTACTGGGTGGTCCACCGGAAAAAGCAGTTTCATTACATTCAATGGTAGATTTCTGAGTGTCCTCAGTAGTTACATAATGTTACCTCACAACACAAAAAACGAAACAGGCAAAGACAGCCAGGGCTTACCCATGGACGGAGGAGGTCGAAGTGACCGCCAAATGCAGAGGCACTCAGTGTCAGGCAAGACGTCCAAGCACCACACAAACACAGTGTGGCTGAGGCTCATGCAACAATTAACGAGAGACCAACACATAGTTCAACCAACAAAAACCCCTAGATCAGGTATTAGCCAGAGATATATTGATGAAAAAGGGCTGACAAAACTGCACACTTACGGGCATCATGAGAACAACGATAATCCTAGTGTTGGCCAAGTGAGATCACCCTCCAAATAACCTGGGAGCATAACAAGCTTTAGAACAAAAAACCTAGGAAACTGGAGTAAGAAACACGGCATTCAGCAGCACAGACCTGATGGCACACAACTAACACTACATGCAGGCGATGAGTCTCAATAACGTGGCTGAAGTATGTTGACCAATCCACACACTAGAAAATGAAGGGGGGACGACGACGTTTCGGTCCGTCCTGGACCATTCTCAAGTCGATTGTGAGAATGGTCCAGGATGGACCGAAACGTCGTCGTCCCTTCATTTTCTAGTGTGTGTATTGGTCAACTAACACTACACTGCAGAGACAGGATAAAAACTATGGTGCAGCCCCAGCCAAACTGTTGGTCACCAACGGGAATCAGACTTTTCATTGTTAGCTAGAAAGAGAGAGAGCTAAAGCCGAAGAAACCGACAACCAACATTGAGAGAACACACACCCCACTTCTGGAGACGGGCAAGAAGCTCCTCAACCTGATAACTGAAAGCCAGAACCAACAAAAAGACCGTTATCAAGAAAAAACACTGCACTGATGACCACATCAAAAACAAAAAAATAAAAAAGAAGGTTCGATCCAGTGACCAAGAAGGCTCCAGAGGAGTGAGTGGCCAGGAGTGAAAGAGCGCCACACCAAAAACCAACAAGTGTGTCTACACCAAGGCCGAGCAATACTGGGCGAAAATAATAGGACTCAAACGATGAACTAAAAAAGTCACGACAGAACAGACATCACTCATGGAAAAAGGAGGCCTGCCACCTGTCTCCCATATAGGCTATCTTCAGGTTATCTTGAGATGATTTCCAGGCTTAGTGTCTTTACGGCCCGGTCCTCGACCAGGACCGTGAACACGCTAAGAAATAAGGTAAGAATAAGATCTGAAAGGTAAGAATAAGATCTGAAAGGTAAGAATAAGATCTGAAAGGTAAGAATAAGATCTGAAAGGTAAGTATAAGATCTGAAAGGTAAGAATAAGATCTGAAAGGTAAGAATAAGATCTGAAAGGTAAGTATAAGATCTGAAAGGTAAGAATAAGATCTGAAAGGTAAGGATAAGATCTGAAAGGTAAGAATAAGATCTGAAAGGTAAGTATAAGATCTGAAAGGTAAGAATAAGATCTGAAAGGTAAGAATAAGATCTGAAAGGCAAGTATAAGATCTGAAAGGTAAGAATAAGATCTGAAAGGTAAGGATAAGATCTGAAAGGTAAGGATAAGATCTGAAAGGTAAGAATAAGATCTGAAAGGTAAGAATAAGATCTGAAAGGTAAGAATAAGATCTGAAAGGTAAGAATAAGATCTGAAAGGTAAGAATAAGATCTGAAAGGTAAGAATAAGATCTGAAAGGCAAGTATAAGATCTGAAAGGTAAGAATAAGATCTGAAAGGCAAGTATAAGATCTGAAAGGTAAGAATAAGATCTGAAAGGTAAGAATAAGATGGAGGTAAAAATAAGATGAAAGATAAGAATAAGAACAAAGGTAAGAGTAAGATGAAAAGTAACAAAAAGAAAAAGGTAAGAATAAAAGAAAGAGATAAGAGTATCAGGTAAAGTAAAGGTAAAAAGGACAAAAAGGGAAGAAGGCAAGGTAACTATCAGGGGAAAGTACCAAACCATTGCGACAATGTAGCACGGGTAACGGGTCTGGAAAACGATTTGGGATGGGACAGGTGCGAGGAATAGTGCCCAACCACTTGGACGGTTGGGGGATTGAACGCCGACCTGCATGAAGTGAGACCGCCATTCTACCGTCAAATGCTGAAGAGGTCAAATGACGAGGAGAAAAACCTAGCAACGTAAGAAACAGAAAGAAAAGGAAAGAAAGCCTAAAAGAGGCAAAACTACGTCAGGTCACGTTTGGTCAGAAGGTTGGAGCATTCTAGTATGTAGTATGAAAGGGAAGACTCAACTGTAACAAAGCCAGGACTCAGGTTCATGTTGGGTAGGTTGTATATCAGAGCTGATGCAACTAGATGGCGTCTGTGAAGAGTAGAGTTAGGTAAGACAATTTTAGATTTTAGAAGACCAATCGATAGAATGATTAGAGCCCCAAACATGACAGAAGAGAACATTGTTTGTGTCTGCAGAATTATTTTTCTTAATTTTCTGAAAAGTGGTTTAGTCATCATCCAAACACTTCGTTAAACCTGGACATACGGACTACCATGAACCTGGTAGTCATCCGGAATGTTGCGCTGGGTTTGTACCTGGTGAGATCCGAAAGGCCGAGAACAAAGCGAGGCTCTAGCTCGTCTCACTCGGTAACAAGGAACAGACATGATAGCATCTGCCAAGACGACGTCACTGATAACACCCGCGTGCACAACAAATCACAGATGACTTTGCAGAGTAGATGACTGAGCAGGACTTAAGGACAACGGAGGTGGTAAGAACAACACTTATTACACCTGAGGCCACACGATACACTGAAGCATCTGGGATCCGCGTGGCACAAGGCGTTCAGACGGTCTCCCACTACACCGTCAGCAGGGTGAACCATGGAAGAGCTGGCGGTAGTAACCGTGCCCGCCCTCAGATCGGGGCAAACGAACTTGCTTCCAAAGAAGAGCCTAACCAGGTGGAGCATCATGAACCAGGGAAACCTGTGCCACAGACTCGACATTGGAATCCTAGAAGCCAGATCGCTCAGCTGCCTAGAAACACAGGCACGGGACAAAAAAGCCAAGCAAGCCAGGCAAGCTGCAAAGAAGTCCATCGCCACATCCCTCAGGAGCTGAATGAACAGCTTGAGCACAGCATCTCCCACAGTAGCAGCAGACCACAACGTAACAGCCACCGTGCCCGATAAGGAGTCTAGACCACCTATACAAGTGTCCAGCAAAGATCTGTATAGGACATGGCCGGAGAACGTTAAATTTTAGGTGAGCCCAGTGATCCGCTGCCACAAGCAAGGCAGGCACTAATATATGGATACATTAATACTAATACATACTAATACATACAACTTAGGTACTAATACATGGAGCCGTTACACGTTAGGGGCCATCGAATACAAGGCAGCATTAATCATTTCAGACACAAAAAAGAAAACTGAAAAGACATCTTTTGAGTCTGATTACTGTCACGAAACTGAGGAAATATTGAAGCCTAACGATGCACACTGCAACCTGTCCTCGTACAAATAACGTCGCAATTCGATCGTATGCGTTACACAAGGCCAAAAATTCTCGCACTAGAAAATGGAAGCTGCTTGCGAAAGTGACGTACTGTCCCGTTTTCCGTTTTGGGTCCTGTGGTCGGTTAAGAGACGACACTTTACATTGACCGTTTTCTTGACGTTGGGAAACCTTGTGAGGACGGGCTGCACACAACACCAGCTGGACCACATGATGGAGTAAAAGTACCTGAATCAGGTCTACTCAACTTTCATGGAGTTTGTAAGTTACCATCTGGTGTAGGCGATGAGTCACAATAACGTGGCTAAAATATGTTGACCAGACCACACACTAGAAGGTGAAGGGACGACGACGTTTCGGTCCGTCCTGGACCATTCTCAAGTCGACTTGAGAATAGTCCAGGACGGACCGAAACGTCGTCGTCCCTTCACCTTCTAGTGTGTGGTCTGGTCAACTTACCATCTAGTATCACAACAGAAGCTTTACGAAATACACGCACATGAACACACAATTATGTGATTTATCTATAAGAAAATGTTTGATTTCCGGTGATGTTTTCTTAGTAGTGTGATGATCACAGATCCTCACCCTCCTGGCCTTCACCTTTGTCAGATTCTGGTTCTGATCTCCGGTGGGCGCTGGCGGGAAGCCTGAACTCCGCAAGACTTAGCAAGCGGTAGCTCTGGGGAGGACTACAGACACCCCCCTACAACCCCCAACCTCCCTTCCCCAGATATTTCAAGAAATTTGTGTCAAAGATAAAAAGAAAGATCCTTTTGCTAACATACATCACTGTCTAGGATATTGTACATTTATATGAAAGATGTGTAGTAAGAATACTATGTCTGTATAAGACATTGTCTTATAAAGAAAAGGAAACCTTTTTAACTTGTTGGTATGTTCTAATCTCACCACAATTGAACTTCCAGGTAAATAAAACTTGAGTGCATTCTCAAGAGTGACTCACGTGGTGTAGTTCTTCTGCTGCTCCATCTTCTCCTTAAACTCCTTGGGTGTTACAGTGCCATCCTTGTTCATGTCCAGCTCCTGTCAGGGCGAGACAGGTGGTCACGTTCATGGCTTGACAAAAGACAGGTGGTGACGGTGATGGTATGACACACAAGAACACCACTGGTGTATGGTGTGTGTCAGTGTGCAGGTGTGTACACAAGAACACTACTGGTGTATGGTGTGTGTCAGTGTGCAGGTGTGTACACAAGTACACTACTGGTGTGTAGTGTGTGTCAGTGTACAGGTGTGTACACAAGAACACTACTGGTGTGTAGTGTGTGTCAGTGTGCTGGTGTGTACACAAGAACACTACTGGTGTGTAGTGTGTGTCAGTGTGCTGGTGTGTACACAAGAACACTACTGGTGTATTGTGTACGTCAGTATAGTGATTCTTTGGGAAATTAACTATCGATATATATACATGTTAAACGAACCTTTAATAAATAATTATTTAGTTTCTTGTGGGAGAACTCGTTAGCAGGGGCCCTGTACTCTGGCTCTGGCTCTGTCCTCATGGACAAGGAGAACCAAGTATCTGAGACCTACTTTCATCTACCAGAAGACAGGACCAAAATCTGTCTCCCTCTACAAGACTGAGGAAATAAGTAAGTAATTATAAAAAAAATGCGCCAAGCCAGGTGGACTATGTAGCACCAACAAATGTGCGGGATATTCCAAAGGCGCTAATTATCACTAAGGATGCCAATACTAGAATATAAACACATAAGGCGAATGATATCAAAGGTATCTGATTCACCAAGCATTCTATCGAGGGACAAGTGACCGCGAGGGACGATCGGGAAGGAAGACACAAGCACGTCCTGGAAGTCAGGACATTCAACAAGAATATGCACGGCCATAAGTGGGAATAATGCAGATTGGTCAATAAGGAGCAGGGCAGCAAGCCAATAAGTGCCCGCGAGGTAAACATGTATGGCCAATACGTAATCTTGCCAGATCCGTTTCCCACCACCGGTTACAGTGGTAGTAGGAAGGCCATGAGGACATACTACTCATAAGAGCATGCAGTTTTTACCAGTAACAGAAGACCAACGACCCTGCCAACGGGCAAGGGTGGAGGAATGAATAATTGGGTAGAAGTCGGAATAAGGAATGCCTTTACGGGAGATGGGACAAGTGCGGATAGCCTCCTTAGCGGCAGCATCCGCATGCTCATTTAAGGACACACCAATATGACTGGGACTCCAGCAAAATTCCACTGCCCTAAATCTACTGGAGATAAGAAACAGCCAATGTTGAATCTTGACTACCACAGGATGAACTGGAATAATGGACTCCAGAGCCATGAGGGCACTGCGAGAGTCAACTACAACAACAAAGGAAGCAGGGAACACGGCCCACAGGAGAGGTAAAGGTCAAAATACGACATAGGCAAGAGTGAGGGTGATGTAGAGACTGCCAAGGTAGCGAAGACAGTATCTATCACGGCGATCCTGAAGACAGGATGCCAATTTCAACATACAGGCTTAGGGTAGGAGTCGAACGAAAGGCACCAGAGATTAGGTGTAACCAAGTATGTTGCAGGGTATCACGAAGGCCAAGAGTAGGAGAGGCCGACGAGTAATGAGGACAACCACAGTCGAGTATAGACAGTATGAGAGAGAGGAGCGTATGCCTATCTGTTCTACACGAAGTATGAGACAAGACGTTAAGGGCCTTATAGCATTCAATACAGAGGTAAATGATATAGGGCGACCAAGACAAACGAGTGTCAAAGATTAACACCAAAATCTTAGCAGGACCTTTGTACAAAAGAGGATTACCATGAAGTGACAAAAAGGGATGAAGAACGACCTGCTTCCACGTAAAAGTTATAGCACAAGTTTTAGTTGTAGATAATTTGATTGGTGGCCCAGGACGACATGGTATCAATCGCAAGTTGAAACCGCTGTTAGAGGAAAGGCGAGTCATCATCTCGACAGCAAATAGTAAGATCGTCAACATAGAGAGCTGAGAAAACGTCAGAGGGAAGGAAGGAATGAATACCATTGAGGGCTGAGGGTCATTAAGACCACAGAGAGAGCTGAGAAAATGTCAGAGGGAAGTGAGGAAAGAAGACCATTGAGGGCAACTAGAAAAGGAGTGGGGCTCAGAACACTGCCTTGGGGTGCACGTTCGTATTACTGAAAAGTAGGGGGACAAAGGGAATATCAGTACGAATCAAGAGAGCAGTAGAGTTATGGGCCCCAGCAAAAGCTGGAGGGGGGGGGGAAGGAATAACCCACGAAAGTGACCAGGACGAGCACCAAGCATCGGCTCTTGTTTGTTTGTTTTTTCAAGTTGCAAATCAACTGGTTAGCATCTTCGCGATGAGAAGCGTTTTAGAATAATTAATGAATTAATTCCTGGACATTGAAGAAAAGACATCGTCAAAAATAGAGAGAACAGAAACAGAGTACAATGAAGAAACAAAGGCAAATAAGAACACAGTACACTTAGTAAGATCAGAATAGGGATCAGTGAAATCGGAGTTACAACAGGTAACTCTTGCAAAGGCGATGGAGTCAAGGGAGCAGGAGGATGGACCAGAGGAAGACACAGTCTGGTGTGGGAGGAAGCATTAGAGAGGGGCGGTCAAGGGAATCAGGGGAAGGAAGGAGAAAACCAGGGGAGCGCTCTTCATCAGGGGGCAGCATCCGAGAGAGAATCAAGGACCAAAGGAACCTTAAGAGGGGACAGGTGACTCTGCCACTAAAATTGAATGGGATGCAGGGATAGAGTCGGAGTCAGAAGCTGAATAATAGAGCGAAGCATTCTTACCCGCCGGGAAGGAAGAAGGGCAGGAGCCAGGTGTACCAGCAATAATAAACTGGTCAACTGCCTCTACAGTCTCAACAGGAGAAGGAGAACAGGAGCGGTCAACATGAAGATTTAAGAGGAGGATGGACAACGGCCTGAACAGACAGGTGGTGAGAAGGACCAAAAGACAGGGAAGAGGGCCGAGAAGGAGTGGGGCTAGAAAGGAAAGAGGGCACAGGGGACAACGAAGACTGGGAAGGAAGGAAGGAAACACCAGATGGAAAACCAGGAGGAAGGTCCTCTGGCTAAGAATGCAAAGGAGCAGGTGAGGTGGTGGTGGAGGTGTCCGGGCCCAAGGCCAGGAAATAGGTTGCGAAACTGAGGAAGTGGGAGAGGGCGAGAAGAAGCGGAACGCAACAAACAAGCATAAGACATACGATAAAAAGTAGGAAGATGGCGTACTTGGCATCTTGCTTCAGGAAAAGATAAATGGTCGCGATGTTTAAAATTGAGGATGGCTTCCTCAAATTTGTAGTGCACACATGCGCTGGAGAAAGTAGGGTGGGCGTCACTGCAACTGATGTAGTGAGCTTGGGAAGGAGGGCAGTGTCTTAGACTGACCCGAGTCTCCACACAAGGAGCATAGAGACACCTTACTTGTGCATTTAAAGGGACCATGTCCAAATCTCCAGCACCTATTGCAAAGGCATAGGGGAGGGGATGTACTCCTGAATGGAGTATCTGGCCCCAGCAAGAATTATGGAAGATGAAGGGATCTTCTATCAAAAGTGATCTTCATTACACAAAGAGGCTGACGACGATGACGACAACGAGGGGGTCGAGTGAATATATCAATCTAGAGGATAGAATGGCCTTGGGCCTCAAGGATATTTTTAATATCCTCACAGCAGTCTTTCAGGACCCTATCACCAGTTGCAACATAGTGCGGGAGAGTAACTGTACCAATGTTGGGATTTAACCGAGCATTTTTGGAGCTCTGAACAGGGGTCTCCCCAATACAGGACAATGGGGCCAAGCAGTCAGCTGCTTCCTGTGAAAGGGCAGCAATGACACGTGTAACAGTACGGGTGGGATTAAAAGTGACAAAGGTATCCACCGAATCAACTAGGTGTTTATGGATGAATAAATCATCAGGACATGTAGAATCAACATGACTGAGATCAAAATACTTAGTCCACTTAACAGGACCAAATAAAGCTTGGAATGTATTAGAACCGGAAGGAATCGTGCGAGTGCGGTGGTGACGGCGCCGAGCACCCAGTAAGATGGGAGTAATAGGCGCAGTTGTTACAATACGAGATGAAGCCACTCCAGGTGATGAGGTGGTCACTGGGGGCTCAACCCTGCCAGGGAGGGGAGCAGAGAGTCAGTTGGGAGAATCAGAGAAGCAGCTTGGTCAGGGCCCAATGCAGTGGGCCTTCCATCACTGTCCAAATCGGGGGCCTGGTCACCCACCCCATGTGCCTGGGGTAAAAGAAGTTGGTTCATTTTCCATGAAGCATCAATTCTAAAAGTCTGGGGCCTGGAACCAAGAGATACCACCTACCAGGACTGCCAGGGAGGCCAAGCGCTGGCCGGTGCAGGAATTGGTGCGTCGTCCCCAACGGTGCTCCCCCTTTTTAACAGGGGAGCCCTACTGCATCATACATTCTCCCACACTGGTGCAAGGACCCCATTCTACCTTTTGCCCCAGCTTGGGCACCCAATCACCCACCAAGGGCAAGGGCGGCCACTCCAGCAGGAGGTCCGTTGACTCGAACAAGATTCCTACGGGTGTGTACCTTAGCACATGCAACATCCAAAGAGGAGCAGGAGAGGGGACCAAGGCAACCCTCACTGGCCGTAGGGAGTCGTACGTGAGCCCCCCTCACCACGATAAGGTGACGCTTTGGAGGGGGCAAGACAGAGGAAGCTTGGCGTTCAGAGATCCACACAAAAGCAAGAAAACCTCCACCAGAACGTATAGGCCCAACAAACCACTCTCAGAAGGAATTAGAGACCTCGAAGGTAACAATGAGGACGAGCGTTTCAACGATGCTAACATGAAAGGCTAGTTTCTAGCGGGGCCCTCTGGAGCACCCTGTTCCTGCCGTTTCCTGCTTCCCTGCGGGATTCACTTCGGGCGGCTCCCGAGTCAGGACTAGCGCCTCGGGTAACTTGTTCCAGCCACAACATGATTGATATGTTTATGATCGTTTGGAATGATACCTTCAGGTTCATTTCCTCCCCTTCTAGCTTGTTTTGTTGTGCTAATG